TTTTTAAACTCTTTCCCTCTCCACGCCCCTTGTTCTGGCTTTTCCATATTAAAAAAAAAAAATACAGTTCAGTGCTGGCTCTTGGCCTGAGAGTATCTGTGCACATGTGTGGCAGAAGAACCCACCAGTGGTGAGGGTGGGGGGGTGTCCACTCGCTCAGGCACCTCCTCTAGTCACCAGAATGGAGGTGCACAAACATTGGGGGGGGGAGAGAATGAACAGAAAGCAAAAAAAAAGAAAATCAGAACAAAGCAAAACTATCTTTGCTCTGACGTTCCCACGGCGTTTTTCTGAGGTGGGTCTGCTCCCCCGCTTGGTCTTGCCATTTGGTCTCGCCCAAGTTGTCAGCTCCAACCGCTGAACCCGGCAGATTCAAAAGCACGCAATTTTTTAGTTTTGCTACAAGTTCCACTAGCTATATGCTTTCAAACTTTTTAAAATATTCCTAGTATGTGGTTCTGAGTTTTGGAGCTCTGCCCTGGATCTGCTTTGTCTGTATTCTGTGGTATTGCTGATGGCGAACCTCACTGCACCTCCACCCTAGCCACCATCAATCCTCGCCTCCTGGTTCTCTCTAAAGGGCACAGACTTTCCCCGCCTCAGGACATCCAACAGCGAACTGCATGCTCAGATTCAAATCCCAGCCATTTTTCTTCCTGTAGGTCATTCCTTTAAACATCTATCTCCTGTTCACTTAGTTCTGGGTGGGGCTTAGCCCCTTGCTCTTATCACTAGCTTGTTGTTAAGAATCCGTTCTAACTCATAGTGCCCTGTATAGGGTTTCCCAGGAAGGGCTGGCGAGTTTGAGCCAGCGAGCTAGTGTTTCAAACCAACCTTGCAGTCCAGTGCTTTATGCTACAGCGCCATATCAGACTCCATCCACAGGCTACTGGCTTAAAACAAACTCTGTTCCTTCCAGGCAGTTCCTAACTCCCCTTTTTGGCGCCTACAAGAAAGAGTTACATATCTCTCTGACATGATAACCGCGTTAATTCCCTTCGTGCAAGGTGGTCTCTTTTACAATACTGCTGCTGGTGGTTGCGTGCTATGGAGTGGGCTCTGACTCACAGTGACCCTGCATAGGGTTTTCAAGACTATAAATCTTTATAGGAGCAGAAAGCCTCATTCTCCTTCAGATTGGCTGTTAGTTTCGAACTGCTGACCTTGAGGTTAGCAGCCCTACTTGTAACCACTGCGCTACCAGAGCTCCTTATTTTATAGCACTAAGTCAGAGAAACATTCACTATCCATAGTGTAGTCAGAAACACAGGAATTTTTGAAACACCCTAGTTGAATCTCTCCTCCACTGCCGGATTCTTTCCATTTATCTGTACGTGGCCTTGGACCTCTGGCAGGTTAGATCAAGTAGGCCCTGACCCCTATCAGCCGTCTTGTTGCTCTGACCTGGCTTTTACCCCAGGTGATTTCAGAAGCAGCTTTCGCCCTCAGTTGCAGTATAGTAATCTTCACATGCCCTTCAACCGCTATGGTTAATCCTCACAAAGTAGCCTTCTCAGAAGCAGAAGTTGGACTTCTCATGACTCTTCATTCTTTCTCTTAACAAAACCCTATGGCTCCATGAGTCTGGAGCCGTTGCAGTGAACCCCGCTCCTTATGCCAGCTGCAACAAGACAGCAGCCATCCCTCCCACGGCTCTCTCTGCTTATCTGGAGTCAGCAATTTATCGTCATGGTCACACACAACTCAGGGACAGTACTTGCAGTTATGGGGTTTGTGCCATCTAGGTGGTTCCGACTCATAGCAACCCTGTCTGTATAGGGTTTCCAAGGAGTGTCTGGTGGGTTTGAACCATCAACCTATGGTTAGCAGTCACGTGCTGATCCATAGAGACGTTGAAGGCACTGTTGTTTCAGTCGGGACAGCCGCTCCTCAGCCTTGTCCTTAGCCTGGCCTCTGTCCTGCTTGAGCAGCGGTACAAAGCTCTTTCAGGGTTGCTGAAAAAGGCCCAGAGGACTCTCCACTCCTCTGTAAAAGTCACCCCAAATATTTAGCTCTAGTTCTGTGGGTCAGCAGACAGCTCTTCGAGCTATCTGCCAAAGGGCACTCAGCGTTACGGGCTCGGTGGGCCAGGATGCCTGCCGCTCCACTGACGGTACAGCTTTGTCTCTGGATCAAGGAGGACTACCGTGCTGGGAGTCTTCAAATGACTCACTCTGCTCCTGAGTCTTCTTCCTCAGTAGTAGTGAGGTTACCCCCTTCCCTACTTCTGAGATAGACACACGTTTTCTGCCCACGTTAGGGCTTCAGGTTTTCACGGTTAACTCTATTAAGAGTCACTCACAACTGAATCATGTAATCCATCAGCATCTTCCCCCAGACCCATCTCTTACCCAGACCCATCGGAGCAGAAACATTGGGTGGGTGTTACATTGACGGAGAAGAGCCCTGTGAAGTGACTCATTGCCCTGCAATTCAGCTGTATTGGTACTGTGTAAAGGGCACGGGGCCTGTGTAATTATCTTTTCCTACAGTGAAGACTGGGGATTTCTTAAATGAGACCGATATTTAAACCCCAACTTGACCACGTACTAGTCATGTGGTCTGGGGCTAAGTGTCTTGGTCTCTGAACCTTACTTTCTTTGTTTCTAAGAGTAACAGTGATGACATCATAAGTGTCATCAAGTTGGTTCTGACTCACAGCAACCCTGTATAGGGCTTCCAAGGAGTAGCTGGAGGATTTGAACTGCCAACCTTGTGGTTAGCAGTCCAGTGCCGATCCTACAGTGCCACACCAGGATGCCTCGTAGTTGGTATAAGCTGACATTACACATAAATCATTTAGTGTCCAGCACACAGTAAGGAGGTAATAAATGCTGGGATTATTTTCAGGCATTTTCGTGGCAGGTTTGATCTAGTTTTCAGAATGAAACCTTATTTAGGTCTGCTTTCCACCGCTCAGGGTGGACAATAGTTGATCCACAGGTCCACCACTATGTATGTTGTTGTTGTTAAGTGCTGACCCATAGTGACCCTGTACAGGGTTTCCAAGGCTGTAAATCTTTATGGGAGCAGACCCCTGCAGAGTGGCTGTTAGTTTCCAACTGCTGACCTAAAGGTTCGCAGCCCGATTCGTAACCACTACGCTACCACTGTGTATATGAAATGTTAAATGCTGTCAGGTTGATTCTGATTCATAGTGACATATTGGACAGAGTAGAACTCTACCATGGGGGTTTTAAGACTCTGAATCTGTATTGGAGCAGACAGCCTCAGCTGCCTTCTCTATCAACCTTGCAAGTTGCATTCCAATGCTTAGCCAAATGCCATACCACACACACAAAACCAAAAACCAAAAAAAACCCCACTGCTGCTGAACCTTTTCCAACTCATACACTAAAAAAAAACAAAAAACAACCACCAAACCCAAAAATGTGCATTACTGTGATCCTCAGCCCAGCGATTGGAGAGTGCTAGAGGCCTCCTTTGAGTAATCTGTTGGTCAGACTCTGAGCATTGTATATGGCGATCTCTCAACTCTGACATAGGGACTAATAGTATTGACAACCTGCAACAATGTGCTGTTTAAATTAGTGCCACACGTTCTATTAGGGTTTTAATGAAAGATGAATGTCATGGGAAAGGTGGTCCTGAGATATTGCAGCTATCCAGGAATTCTCTTTCGATAAAAAGGTTTGGTTATTGAACCATTTTGGTAATATTTTGCAACATAATTTGTGCACTTCCACTTAAGTCCTGTTAATTTGGAACATATGGCTTACCCTTTCCAGGCCTTAGTTTCTATACCTACCTTACCTTGGACCAGCCTTGGTGTGAGAATCAGAAGTGATTGTTTTATAAAGTATCGAGCAAAGCTTATAGCCTGAACTGCAACATGTGGAAAATAATATGAAGACTGAATTTGGATAAAATGCTGATCTCTGGGGGAAATCCGGTGATTTTTCACATTAGTGATCTGATTCAGACCCAGTATTGCTTTAACTCGTGGGTGCGGGGAGACCTGCTCTCCGTGGGAGGTCGTGGGACACGAGAGGATACGTGGAATTGAAGAAATGAATACAATCGAAAGGCTTTTCAGCTTGTTCTGCTGTCAGGCTGTTCTCTCCAGCTTCTGGCCCAGCTCAGCAAGTCTTTATTTTTATACTTAAAATTACACAGTACATGCATTGACACTTTTATGATTTCTTGATACACAGTTAGTCACAACATTCTTGCACCTGGTCATTAGACAACCTTGACAAAAATACTTCTGTGATGTTCAGACTCAACTTCATCTCCTTTTCCAGTATGTGATAAACTGTTTCTTCTTGTGTCTACTAAAAGATTATAAACTTTCTATCCTACATAATGTGCAATTATTTTCATAATAAAGGTATTCATTAAATTGCTTAGAAGCTATGTGGTATAAAGCCCAACCTGGCTACTTGTTGCAAGAAGTATAGATTATCAAGTGAAATCTATCCTTCACTTAAGTTCATTATTGTCTGCTTGTTTATGCAGGTGCCTGTATGTAGGGGTTTGTGAATTCTAGCTAGTGACTGAAGGTGGTGAGGCCTATGGGGGTAGGTCAGCTTGACTCTAATATGCTGTCTGCTTTTGTGGCCTCACTAATTCAGTTACTTAGGTTTTCTAATGAAAGGGAGTAATTTACACAATTCTCTTTGTATTCAATCCACCAAAGCTGAAAGCAATTGTTGATAAGCTAGTTTTTCCTAAGGTTTGTAAAATTCATAGTAAAAGGCTGTGAATATTGCCATATTATATATTTTCGTGGTGAAAGGATTAGTTAAGATTTCTTAACTGGCTGTGTGATGTTGGCTGAGCTAGTTAATGTCTCTAAATCCTAGTTTCATTGTCAGTAGAAAGAGGATGACAGCAGCTGTTTCAAAATTGTGAGTATAAAAATGAGGCCATAGTTGACCAAGGCCCCGTTTTCACCCCTATTGTTTTCAAGTCATCAATATCTGAACCAGTCATCGAGGTCATTCTTTGCATTTTGACTTGTGTGTGCTCTTTCCTAGGATGAATGAAATGAACCTGAGCCCGGTGGGGATGGAGCAGCTGACGGCATCCTCTGTGAGCAATGCCTTGCCTGTCTCAGGAAGTCACCTGGGCCTGGCTGCCTCCCCCACTCACAATGCCATCCCTGCCCCAGGTGAGTGCACTGTAAGGGAGAGCGAGCACCTGCCCCTTCACAGGTACTGCTGCATTCTCAACTTAAAATGGAGACCGGGGGTGGGGAGTGGGAGGGGTGGGGTGGAGTCTGGTGTGGCGCTGTAGGGTAAGCCCTGGACTGCTAACTGCAAGGTTGGCTGTTCAAACCCACCAACACTTCTCAGGGTCTTTCTGAGTTGGAATCAACTCAACGACGCTTAGCAAGAGTGGAGCAGAGTCCCTTTAAGGACAGAAGGGAGAAGCCAGTTCTACACAGTGGAAGAAGACATTGTTGTAGAGAAGTGGTGTTCACAGGGTAGGAATAGCAGTGTTTCTGAGGCTCCTTTTCTGGAGCGGGAGTTGGTTTGGCGTTTATTTAGGATCACTGTCAGAAATGGGCACGGACACTAGTCTGACCTCCTCCCACTTCACAAGAGAAGAAGAAGAGACTCCAACTCTCCATCAGCATTAGCCCCAAACCATTTCCTGTAAGGCTGAAGTCACCCTCCAAACCTTCTCTACCAAATCTACAACCACACCCATCCCTCCCACAGTCCTCTGTTCGTCTGGCTTTGATCGTTCACTGCGGAAGCCACAGAGGACTCAGACACCAGACTCACAATCCAGGGGCGTATTAGGGAAGTGAGCAGGTTCCAGTTGGGGTCAGAAATGCACAGAGCACAGTTCTTCCAGTCAGGAAGGCCTCTCTGGGCCTTGGCCTAGCCTCTGCCCTGCTTGGGCAGTACTACAGAGCGTTAGCATTACTGAGAAATGCCCAGAGGGCAGGCACTCTGCTAGAAGCCTCAGCCCATATTCCATGGACTGAGGCGCCGTTCCGTTGGGTCTGCAAACCTGGAGGCCTCCCACTCTGCAAGCAAGCCTCCTGTATCCTGTACAAAGGCACTCAGCTACCTGGCTCCGGGGGCCATGACGCTCTCCACTCTGTTTTGTGCTCTGGTTCTTAGTTCTGCTGTGGCCACTCCTCTTCTCCTTCTCTGGCATCCAAGCTCTGTCTTGGGTCAAGGAGGTTGAGTGTGCAGAGCTCTAAGGGTCCAAAGGACGTGTTCCCTCCCAGCTCGTGTTCCTTGGTGGTAGTGAGATTCCCCCCTACCCCTGCTTCTGAGCTGGCTCATTTATACCCACTTAACCCTGGTAACAGCCACTCATCACTGAACCATGTTATCCTATCAGCACTGTCTCCTACCTTCTCTCCTGCAGCCCCATCAGGGAAAACAAAGTCGTTTGGTGGGAGTTAGAAAGACGAGGGCTCGAAAAGCCACATTGAGTATCTAATTGACTGCCATTCAGTGCCCAGTTATCTGGGTCTCCTCTTGCGCCTTGTCCCTGCCTTGCTATTGGTCAGTGCCATTGAGCTGGTTCCATGATCCTGTGTAGGGTTTCAGAGGAGTGACTGGTGGGTTTAAATGGCCAACCTTGTAATTAGCAGTCCAGTGCTTATCCTACAGAGCTACACCAGGACTCCTATGCTAATGGAAGAGACTCTAATAACTATTTCCTGAAAGCATGGTGGGATTGGGCTTTATTTCCTACTGGTCCAACTGCAAGTGCATCAGGCCTAGAGTTACAGGGAGATAGGAGGTGTCAGAGGTGAGTCCTCATGTGGCCCTCCCTGGAGCTGCAGTCCTTAGAACAGCATTGGGCGAGCTCCTCCTTCCTCGTCACTGTGTTCTAAAACAACCTTCTCTGCCTAGTTTCACTTTCCTTTTCTATTGGTGTGGAAAAGAAACGGGTAAGCTATTGATTCTTACTATGTCCAGGCAGTCTGCATGGTCAGGTAGCTGGGCACCGTCTAGTTCTTAGGACTCAGGCTAGCTGAGGTTGTTGCCCTTGTAGACTAGTTTCATCTCTGCACTTGGGGTTATCTTCTCTCTGCTTTGCTCCTGGCAACTTGAGACCTCTTGGGACTTTGATGGCTGCTCTTAAGTTTTCAAACCCCACTTACTACTGCTTACTTCACTAGGAGGCAGATCATGATGTTGGCAGGTGTTTGGTTATGTCTGAGGAGTGTCTGTATTTGTGTCTTCAGTAAACATGTGCCTGCACACACATACTTGCCTTTACATAGACCTAAAGATACTTCTCTCAGTGGGTATTGATTCTTACACTAGCAAGCTATTTTCTTAAATGTTTATGATATTGTAATGTATTAGACTTTCCTCCTTAGAAACTAGGAACGAATGTGTATTTCAGAGATATCTATTAAGTTGTTTACTGAGCTCTCTATAGACAATTAACTGCTTATTAATTAGCAAAATCCAGCAGTTAATTATGATTCATCTAAACTAGGGTCTCTTCACATTCCTTTAAGTGTCCCCTAAAAGAAATTTTGATTTCTTGTCAGTTGTTAGCCCATTTGATTTTTCTCTTAGGCCTTCCTTTTAATAGATACTTTTGTTATAGTGGATACTCTTCCTATAAATAGGAAGAAATTCTATTTTAAAAATAAGCTTCAAAAAGTTCATGGAAAAATTTCACGATCATTCAGTTCCATTTTCCTCTGGACTTTCTGAAGCTTGTTAGTACTGCTGCAGTAGAAATCTGCAAATCCGCAGAGCTGGCTTTGTGAGCATTCGTTAGACACAGTAAAGGCACTTCAGTGCTCCGAGGAGTCTAAAGTGTAACATCTGTGTACGTGTAAAAGAGCAGTGTTCCAGGAAAAGACTATAGAGACGTGTATGTACAGTTCCCATCTCAATGTAAATTTGGTTCTTTTTCCTGAGTTGAAGCATATCTATGAGTCTTTTAAAAAGTGAACCATTCTCATGTAAAGGACAAAATACAGTACTATAAAAACATGGAGCCATAGCACCACACTTGGAGATCCTGCCTGTGAACTCTTTGGCGTGAGTTCTCTCTACATCGTTTATCTTCTTAAATTGTATTTAAACTAGGCTTTAATGGTAAAATTGTTATGATACTTAGAGCAATACAGGTAACCGAAGGAACAACTTGGCAATTTGTAGTGACCTTATAGGACAGAGGTTGCCACAGCTGTCAGTAAATCTTGACAGGCGCAGAGAGCCTTGTCTTGCTCCTACAGAGGCGCTGATGGATTTCAGTTAGCAGCCAAGCGCTCTTACTGCTGTGTTGGCCTGGCTCTCTTCAGAAAGGAGCCCGCCCTGGTGGTGCAGTGACTTAATCGTTGGGCTGATAACTGAAGGCCACAAATTCAGATCCAAGCAGTTCTACTGTCGGGTCAGTATGAGTCAGCAGTGGACTTGGTTTGACTTTTGGTTTAGGATTAAGACTACTTTGATTAATCCTGTTTGTGGATGTCTACAGAAGACTATCTGTCTATCTGGGGATAAAAAAGGGTTTTTTTTTTTTTAAATACAAGATGCCAACTCAGATTTTTGCCTGTATGCAGAAACCTTTCTAAGAGTTTAGCCAGTGGTTATAGAGAAAACTTAAAAAAAAAAAAATTCATTGTTGCTGTTAAGTGCTTTTGAGTCTGTAGTGACTTACAGTGACCCTATATAGGGTTGCCGAGGAGCAGCTGGTGAGCCTGAACCACTGTCCTTGCGATTTAAATCCACCTTGCAGTCCAGCGCGTTTATTTTCCTTTAAATGCCTTTTTCTTTGCAGGTCTGCCAGTGGCAATTCCCAACCTCGGTCCCTCCCTTGGTTCTCTGCCTTCTGCTTTGTCTCTGATGCTCCCTATGGGCATTGGCGACCGAGGAGTGATGTGTGGATTACCAGAAAGAAACTATACCCTACCTCCATCACCCTACCCTCACCTGGAGAGCAGTTACTTCAGAACCATTCTACCTGGTAAGTGCTAAAGGTATTTGGGCATTAGAAAAAAAGGAGAGAGCCAACTTTTAGCCTTAAATCTCAGCCTTGAATACCAGTTTTTCCCTACTTGTTACTATTGTTGTTGTTAGGTGCCGTTGAGTCAGCTCCGCCCCATAGTGACCCTTGGTACAGCAGAATGAAAACCCACCTGGTCCCGCTCCAGCCTCACAATTGCTGCTACGCTTGAGCCCATTGTGGCTACCACTGTGCCAGTCCATCTCGTTAGGGCTCGTCCTCTTTTTCTCTCTCCTGCCACGTTACCAAGCATGATGTCCTTCTCCAGGAACTGGCCTTTCCTGATAATATGTTCAAAGTAACTATTAGATGTCAACATCTAAGAGAAAAAACCTTTTTGTTTATATTTATATGCTTTTCTTCTAGAATGTGCAGTTTTGTTGTTGTGTGCCATCAAGTCCATTCCGACCCCTACGGGGTGTCTGAGGCTGTAGTAAATCTTTACGGGAGCAGAAAGCCTCATCTTTTCTCTGGCAGAGCTGCTCGTGGACTCAAATCACAGACCTTGTGCTGTTCGCACATTACTAAAACAGCAGTTTGACTATAAATTTGATGTCTTAATGGCACATACGTGGTTTTGTTCTCCTATCTCCTCCTCCATCTCCTTCATTCATTACTGGTAACCACATAGTGCTATGACGTCATTGATCATATAAAATAAAACGTACTGAATTTTTATTTTGTTACGAAAAGTACTACATACACATTTCAGAGCATGCAACAAATAAGGAGGGAGGGGAACCATGCTTAGTTTCACCCAGCCCACCTTTTGGTGTACCACCTTCCTGTCTTTTATCTGTTCCTCATATAAAATCATACTTTCTGTGCGATTATGTGCCCTCACTTTTTTTCAGTTAATAATTTTCGCTGTTTTAGTAGTTGTTCTACCTGGTTGCTACATGGCTTTCATAATTATTCTTTTTAAGTGATGCATTCCATTCAACTGACTGGTTATTTCGTTCTTAGATCAGTATTTTTGGACAGTTTGGCTTTTTCAATTTTGTTTATTATCCTGATAGCTAGCTTCTTATGAATGTCTTTGTGTAGAGTATTTACAAAATAAAGTCAGGAAAGAGGACCATAAATTATACTTTTATGTAAGAGTGTAGGAACATTGTTGATCTTAATGTCTGTTTCCAGGTTGTGCTCCAAAGGGGCTTTACTAATATACATTCCTATTTGTCCATGTCCTTAGAAGTGTAAGTGCTGAAAAATGTTTTTGTTTTCAGAAAGCAAGTACAGTTGTGGCTTGTTTTGAATAGAACCTAATGTGTCTGATACCATGATGATTTAAAACTCAGTTACAGTTACATTTTCTATTTTTCTGTGGAAAAATTTGTTTTTAAGTCGTTTACCTTTTCATGATTTCTTACACAGCACTTTTTAGCATCGTAGGACTCGGGAGATGTAGTCGTGTATATATTAAAGGCAGCATTTAAGTGGTTAATTTTTAGTTGACATCAAAGGAGTATAGTTAAGTTTTGAGTTTTTTAGTTAAAGCTTTGAGTTTCACGTGAAAAACTCAAATATGGCATATGCATGTTGCTACTCCTGAAGTATATATATTAATTATATGTAATATATGTTATAATATATATATAGTATAATATATATATATATTAATTAACCAAAAGAAGGGGGTAGAGAATTTGATATTTAACAATGTACCCCAAATTTCCTGATATCTCATCTTTCCCTTTTCTCAGGCATTTTATCCTATTTAGCAGACCGGCCTCCTCCTCAGTATATCCACCCCAACTCTGTAAACGTCGATGGTAGTACAGCATTATCGATTGCCAATAACCCTTCAGCTCTGGATCCATATCAGTCTAATGGGAACGTTGGATTAGAAGCAGGCATTGTTTCGATAGACTCTCGCTCTGTGAACACACATGGTACCCAGAGTCTTCATCCCAGCGATGGCCATGATGTGGCATTGGACACAACAATCACTATGGAGAATGTTTCCAGGGTTACCAGCCCAATCTCTACAGATGGGATGGCAGAGGAGCTTACAATGGATGGAGTTGCAGGCGAACATTCACAAATCCCAAATGACTCCAGAAGTCACGAGCCTCTGTCTGTGGATTCTGTGAGCACCAACCTTGCAGCCGACGCTGTAGGACATGGTGGTGTGATGCCCATTCATGGGAACGGCCTGGAGCTCCCTGTGGTCATGGAGACAGACCACATAGCAAGCCATGTCAACGGGATGTCTGATAATGCCCTCAGTGACTCCATCCACACCGTGGCCATGAGCACCAACTCTGTAAGCGTGGCACTCTCTACCTCACACAATCTCGCCTCCCTAGAATCTGTTTCCCTCCATGAAGTTGGCCTCAGCCTAGAACCTGTGGCGGTCTCCTCCATCACCCAGGAGGTTGCTATGGGGACAGGTCATGTAGATGTATCTTCAGACAGTCTTTCTTTTGTACCACCTTCACTGCAAATGGAAGACTCCAATTCAAACAAGGAAAATATGGCAACCTTGTTTACAATTTGTGAGTGTGTTTAGCGTTTTTCTTTCGGAAATATTGGTAGTACGAGGCATCAAGGACCTAACCAGTTTAGTCACCCTAACAAGGGTAGGTAGGCGAGGGTGAGGGAGTGTAGGAAGTCACAAGACTTTGGGAATGGGCTTTGCCTTTGTATTGCCCTTTACATTAGCCGGGTGTTTTTTTTTCTTACAGGCTTCTCCAAAAGTAAGGAAATACAAACTAGTCATTTTTGTATTATAGATGAGTTTTGCTTAAGGTATTTCCCAAGATTCCTCAAATGGATAGTTAATTGTAAGAGTCCACGTGGGTAAGATGTGCTGTGTGACAGGCCGTGTGTGTTTACAACTGAAGACGGAAAGAAGCCTCTACTAGATGACTTGTGTTTCTCTCCACATAGAACAGTGGTAGTGGTGGTAAGTGCTGTCCAGTCACTTCTGACTCATAGCAACCCTCTATAGGGTTTCCAAGGAGCAGCTGGTGGGTTTGAACCACCGACCTTGTGGTTAGCAGTCCAGTGCTGATCCTCCAGTGCCACACCAGGACTCTGTGGAGCAGTGTAGGTACATGGTATTTGAATGACCATGTGAATTAAAATAGCATGTGCATCTTCTATGTACAACAGATGGTTGGTATTTAACATGTGCATGTTCCTTTGATAGGGCAACGAAACACAAGCCACATAAAATGGATGGTTTGTTAAAGGTCTCACTGCAGGCTTCCTTCAGGCAAGAAGTGGGTTGAGTATGTACATATGGTATTGTCTGCTAGATGCTTGGGAGAAAATGGTTTAGAAGAGACCATCCGCATCTTTAATGAGCTTAGTCTGTGGGGATTACAGACGAGTCACGAGCCTAATGCAGTGCAGGCTGCCATAGCAACCTGAGGAGGACTGGCTATAGGAAGTCAGGATTCTTGCATGTTAGCACAGAACTGACGGACAAGGAGAGCTAGGCAGCTGAGAATCGGGAAGAACAGTGTCCTGGACAGGAGGGGCACCTGTAAATACCTAGAACTAAACAACTGTGAGTGAGACTGGGTGAGGCATAAAATGGGCTTTCATGCTGGGATTGGAGAGAAGGGGTTTTAAGCAGTGGGGCTGGGAAGGAAGAGGTGTTGACTACCGAGTGAGGATGACTGGATTTGTCAGACGCAGCTAGATAGGTGAGGGCTGTGATGGGAGCATTTAAATGGCTGCGGTTCTAGCCTAGAGTAAGGGTAAGGAGAATAAGAAGTGGGTGTATTTAAGAAATCTTTGTAAGGAATAAGACTTGTGATTGGATCAAGTTAGGGAATTGAATCGGTGAGGAGAGCCCCCTGGTGTCTGGCTTGGAGAACCAGGTACGGGTCATTGGAATCGTGAGTACTGGAGGATGAGTAGATGTTTTGGTTGCAGGGGTGGTGATAACTCCTCACTTAGACATGTGGATTCAAAGTCTGAGATAGCCAGTAGAGAAGTCGGGCTGGAGTTCAGAGGGGTCATCAGCATTTCCATGTTAATTGTGGCCATGAGAGTGGGGTGAAAAGAGGAGAGGAGGTCAGGGGTTCCAGCCAAGAGGAAGCCAAGCTCACAGAAGAGGTCAAACAGGAAGGTCAGAAAGGAGGAGGAAGCCAGACGGTATGATGCATGGATGATGCATGCAGCAGCAGCCATGCTGTGAGGAGACCCATGTTAACCTTTCAGGACCTCCGATTGCATGCTGTGGGGGACACCCGTGTTAACCCTTCAGGACCTCACATTGACGGTAGTAAGCCTTTTCATCAGGGATGCAGTTCATCTAAGTCACAGCAGCTTAGGAGAAGTAAGGAGGTGGCCTTGCTACACCTATCGCTCTTCAGCTGGCAGGCCCAAATCTACGTGTACAAGTGTTTTTAATGAGAGATTTTGTAAATGTATTTTAAAGTGTGCTTTCACTGTGTTTACCAGACTCTGTCCTTGTCACCACTGTTTCATCCCAGAACGTTCCGTTACCCCCAAAAGAAACCTCGTGCCCATTAGGAGTTGCTCCCATTGTTTTCTCCCTCTTTTTCCTGGCAACTACTACTCCTAGTATGACACTGTAGGGTAACCACTGGATTGCTGACCTCAAGGTCGGGGGTTCAAACCTACCAGCCACTCCTCGGAAACCCCATACAAGGTCGATGTGAGTCTGAACAATACAACTCCTCAGCGTTATATTCGATGATACTACTACTGGTATATTAACCACGTGAGTCTGTCTCATGTTGTTGTGCCATTGAGTCAGTTCTGACTCACAGAGCCCTGTAGAGGGTTTCCGAGGAGCAGCTGGTATGTTTGAACTGCCAGGCTTGAGGTTAGCAGTTCAGTACTGATCCTACAGTGCCACACCTTGTTACAAGGTTACATTGTTAATCATTTTAACATTTACATCTATAGCTTGTCATTGTGGGGTTAGACTGGAGAAGATTGTCTTGTGCCTGAGAAGGGTGACATCTACACCGTGTGTTGTTAAGTGCCATCAAGTCAGTTCTGACCCATAGCAACCCTGTATAGGGTTTCCAAGGATCAGCTGCTGAGGTTGAACCACTGACCTTGCGGTTCAAACTGACTTTGCAGTCCAGTGCATTAACCCACAGCACCACACCAGGACTTGGCATGTGTTGTCAAGGTGGTTCTGACCCACAGTGACCCTGTATAGGGTTTCTGAGGCGTGGCTGGTAAGCTTGAACCACTGACCTTGCAGTTCCAACCGACTTGCCAATCTAACGCAGTAGCCCATAGTGCCACACCAGGACTCCACGATGTTTAATATTCTATTATATTTTTGTTCAACTATCCAACAGTATGGCAACGTCAGTGGGCTCAAGCGGGGCAGCCATTGTGAGGTTGGCCCAGGATCAGGCAGTGTTACATTCTGTTGTGCACAGGGTCACTATGAGTCGATACCGACCTAACAGTATCTTAACAGTGTTCCTCAGTCCAATTTTCTTGGCCTTTTACTGGAGAGGTCCACTAGGGGGCACCTCCTCAGCCGCCAAGAGTCATAAAGTAAAGGTGGGCCAGCAATCAGACTGACTGGCTGTCTTCGCCGTGTGGTACACCCAGGACAGAAACCTGTTTTCCAGTATCTTAAGCAAGTGGGGCATGGTGGAGAAGACCAAGCTTTTAGCATAAAGAAACTTACTAGGCACATATGTAGGACCGTTATTTTCCATTAATACACAACTTGTATTTCTGCTTATTGGCATCCTGAGTGATGGGACTTGTTTGGTAGAGTTCAGTCTCAGCATGGTGAGGTCTTCCGTGGCCTAATACAGCTCCCAACTTAACAGTATATTTGAGTTCTGATGAACACCACTTAACAACTGTCGTTTGTTATTTGTACTTCTCAGTAGTAGCAAGTTGTTGTTGTTACAGTGCTGTCGAGTCGGTTTAAGCAGCACACAATAATTCAGCCTGTAATTTGCTGCTATCACTTCCAGGTGTTCACTCATAGATGTGCAATGTTACAATTTATAAAGATATTGACAATAAAAGGCAGTAATAATGAAAGTTAACAAAGTGAGGTATTTGACTCACATCAGAACTGCCTTCGGACTGAGTTGCTGGCGGGACCCTGTGTGTAAGTCAGGGGCTGCCTATAGACTGACCTGAGTATGGCCCTGCACGTGGTTGCTCATACAAAGGCCGCCATCTCAGGACGGAAAGTGGGTAGCGTTGCTGCTGTTAGCTGCTGTCGAGTCGGTTCTGATTCATAGCGACCCTGTGCACAACAGAATGAAACACTGCCCGGTCCTGCAGCAGCCACACAATCATGGCTGCACTTGAGCCCATTGCTGCCTCCACCGTGCCAATCCATCTTTGTCGCAGACCCTCCACTTTACCAAGCACGATGTCCTTCTCCAGGGACTGGTCTCTCCTGATAACAGTCTCGCCATCCTGTACTTTCAACATAGATCTGTTTGTTCTTCTGGCAGCCCATGGCACTTTCAATATTCTCCAATTCCATAACTCAAATGCATCAATTCCTCTACGGTCTTCCTTATTCACTGTCCAGCTTTCACATGTTGGACAAATGAGCCTATTGAAAATCCCATGGCTTGCGTCAGGCACACATAGGTAGAGTTACTTGGGCTTTCATTTGTTTTTTGAGGAAGCCATTTTTACTCCTTTTGCCTTTTGGGAATTGTAGGCAGGTGAGAATGCCCACTCATAGCTTGGTTTTCAGCCCATTGTTGGACAAGAGTGGCAGGGAAATGGAACCTTTGTTCACTGTCAGTGGTTTTATTTGTGTTAGCCCGTGCAGCGGCATCGTTAGGGCCTGAACTGGGAATGGCTTTGAGGTGTCCTTGTCCTAGGAAAAGCTGTGAAAGTCTACTACAGCCAGTTCCCAGGTTTCTGACTAACATGCAACCTGTAGTTACGAACCAACCCTCATAAAACCTGTCATTAAAAAGCCAAGGTGCTTATAACTGGTCGTGATAATAAATAGACGCTGCTCTGCATGGGGGACTCTTGGTGTGGCGCTGTAGGATCCGCGCTGGACTGTGAACCATAGGTAGGCAGTTCAAACCCACCAGGTGTTCCTTGGAAACCCTATATAGGGTCACTATGAGTTGGAACTTGATGGCACTTAACAACTTTGCAATTAGCATCAAAACATCTTCATTACCTTCCCCTTTACCATACTACACACTCACAACTTACAGTCCTCTTTGTTTTTAGTCCATTAGGGATTTGCCCACACCATATATATATGTCATAATGAATGAGTATGAGGGGGCTTCAAAAAGTTCATGGGAATACTGCATATCTTTCTATCCCATTTATTCCATGAACTTTTTTTGTTAATGTTTTATTGTGAATTATATGATAGTTTACATGAGAGAGCTTTAGTTTTACATTCATTCCATCGTATATCATTTCATTGCCATGGTTCCAGTCCCCTCCATGCATCATCATCCGACCAAAGGGTATAGCCTAGAAACCCGTCCTCTACACTTAACACCACACCCCCTGTCTTCGGCCCACAGTCCCTCTCCCTCTCTGGATCCAAAGTCCCCAGCCACTTCATCACTCCACGTCATCGTCTCTGTCTCCATCTCAGGCATCCCTGCTTCTCTGGGTAGGGTCCCACTCTCGGCTCTTCTCTGTTGATGGTCCCAGAGACCTCCACTCCTAGACTGGAGAAATAATCACTCCCTTCCTTGCTACAAAGCGTCTACCTTTGCATTTCCAACCCTCACAATCAGTCATGATAACCATTATTCACTACAGTATCATGAGTTACCCATCTGTATTTCATTTCATCTGCTCCGCCTAGACAGACTGGATAGTACTCACTAGAGAGAGTCTGCCTTCCTCCATGCCCCCTAGCTCTAGGTTCCCTCTTGAAAGCTTGTAAGCCAGTCACTTCTTGCCTTTGTAGTCCCCCCTCCCCATTTGGGTATCCAGTGTCCTTAAGTTGCCTGTATCTGTCTACTCTGTGTGTGGAGGGGGTGGGAATGTTTCTTGCTGTAAGGATTTGTTGCCTCTCTGAGTCACTGCATTCGTAGGTATAGGTCAAGTTCATCAGATTGTATCAGCTCATCTTGTTCCATGAACTTTAAAAAAAAAAGTTTTTTATTCTGAATTAAGTGAAAATTTACAGGGCAGATCATCAGTTTTACGTTCAACAAACCATATAGTTTGTTTCATTATATGAAAGGGCACATTCTGCAAGCCTGCCTCCTGGCCACCAGCTTTCAGCTCCTCTCTTTCCATGAATTTAAAGTCCTCAGCTGTTCCCTCCATGTCCCCATCTCTGCCTCCATCTCTGGTGTTGCTGATTCTGTGGATAAGGTCTCTCATTCCGCTTATGCTCTTCTCCCTGGATGGTCCATGAAGTTTTAAAAAAAGATCTTTGTATGTTAATTGGGTGTAGGTTTACAGAGCAGGTCAGTTTTCTATTCAACAATTCAGCCACATTTTGTTTCATCTCATTGACTGCAGTCTCCTTACTGAAACACCACTGTTGCCTGAGTGTCCTGCTTCCATTCCTCCACTTCTGTGAGCTCTTTGAAGCCCCCTCATTAAGTTAGTGCCTTGAGTAGCAATGTGCTCCATGAAGCAGTTTGTTCCTTATCCTACCAGTAAATAACCGCAATGTCTGGCCCCTGAGTCAGAATTGGAGCTTTTTTCATTTCCAGTTCATGAAGCATCTTATACTGTTGGCCAGCATTTGGGTTCCCTGGGCGGACACTGAGGTGTATAGATGGCCGAGCAGTGACTGCGTATTTTTTCTGCTTCTGTGTCTCACACACATTTCCATCTGTCCTGCTAATCCATACACCATTCTAGAGGCCGTGGACTCGGGGGGTTGTTGAGCTTTTGCTCAGATATAATAACCCAGCTGGGGAATAATCTCACTGTTAAAAGTCTGATTAGTGGGAGGTGGGATTCTTGTTCAGTGTCTTCCACTTTGAACTGAGTGAGGGGCCTGGAAGGAAGCATGGTGGTACAGTCCTCAGCCACTCCCCAACATTGGCAGTTTGAAGCCACCAACAGCTCTGCAGGAGAAAGCTGTGTCTGCCTGTACCTTTACAGCCTGGGAAGCCGTAAGGGACAGCTGTGCACAGTCCTGTGGAGTCGCTGTGAGGCAGAATTCTCTTGGCAGAAGCAGTTTTGGTTTTCTGTGTATAAGGAGCCTTGTTCTTCAATGGTGGTGGCACCTCTTTCTCTGAGCCCTCCCCTGCCTATTTCAATGTCTGTTGCCGTCTTATTGCTGTTTAAAGAGTCCCATGTAGAGGTACCTCGTCTTGGGCCCGTGTCACAGCCTGGATTTTTACTTTGGACACCCTTTTTCCTGTCCGTGTAGCCTAGAGACAGCCCAGTATATTCGGCCCCTCTTGGTTTTATACTTGCTAAGAGTCTCACCAGTATTGAGCCTGTGGACCTGGTATCTGTTTTCATCTAATTTTAGTTTTTCTTTTAACTTTGGCCCCAGCTTCTAGTTGGGCTTCTGTAGCTAATTTGACAGCCCCAAGCAATGGCTGGAGTCACCCCTGTCACTAGCTCTGTCACTAGCTCTCCCAGCCCCCTGGGACTCCTCCATGGTCCACAGGAGCCGAGTTTACTTGCTGCAGGTCCACATAGAGGTTCCAGGATTTCCCCCTGAGATCTGTCTTTTCCCAATCCCGTTTTCTGAGATCGCGCTCACAGTACCAGTTGTGTGTCCTGCTGGACCACTGGCTGGGTGGTGTTGCACCCTTCAAACCCCCCTCAGGTTGGTTCAGTGCAGATCACGCCAAAAAGAGGCACTAGAAACCAGGTGATCAGCGTTGTGACGCTCTGGACAGACAGCCAAGTGTCCAGGCTGTTCCTCTGTAGATCTTTGTGTTGATGCTTTATATACCTTAACAGAAATGGGAGCAGAAATAAAGGAAAGGAGTGTGACTTTGTGCAGGGGGAACTTAAAAACTGTTGGGGTTCATAGAAACCGTTCTCAGGAATGCTCTCTCTACTGAGTAAAGGATATGGAGGTCTTCCTTTAAGGTGGTTAATGACTACCTGCTAGCTTTGGGGTGGCAGAGCATCTGTTGGGTGGAACTGCAGGACTCTGGTGGGGTGATTGCCTGGTCAGCTACTCTGCTTTATTCCCAGAGTGCTTTGCGGGCGGGCAGGATCCATGTTGGCTGTCTAAGGCCTACTCATGTGTTTGGTAGTGACCCCCTTTTTCTTTCAGAGCATTGGCAAGCCAACCCTCACCAAGTGTAGGGGACCTCTAAGCTAATACTTTAAGTGCTTTTTTAGTCAAGTAGGAGGCAAAGACGGGATAGATTATTGCTGCTTTGGCTAACTATGAAAATGTAATGATAGTTTTAATGTCATTTAAGTAGAGAGATTTCTAATGGATTGCTGAGGAGAAAAAAAAATAGATGACTGGGCTCTAAGGTTTACGTATTCCAACTGTTTGTGAATGGGTTTTGGAAAGGTTGGGCACAGTCAGTGACTGATAGGGTTGTGAGTTCTTCAAAGAGGGGACCATGGGGAAGCATCAGAGAAGGGTGATGGGGGAGGGGCTGTCATGGGCATGCAAGGGACAGCTCTCCCTGACAAAGCAAAAGGAAGACCATGTAAGCAAGTACGCAGAGTTCTAGCAGGTGTGGTCGCAAGAATACGATTCCATCTGCTCTTGTAGGTTTTTGTTCTTAAGAATCTGTCCTCTCAACCTGCCAACCCAGTTTGTTGACAGTGGAGCAGAAGGTGACTCTGGCTCAGACTCCATCACCCTACCAAGTGTCTGTGTCTGTCTGCTGGCCCTGCATTCCAACTTAGCTTCCTCTCCTGGGTCAGTGGAATTGCAATCGTTGGGACTTGAAGGTGTCATCTAGAGATACTACTTGTCTAGTTAGTGTAAGGAAAATGTACTTAACTGAAAATGTTACTTTTTGATCCATCTTCTTCTTAACACACTGAATAAGTAACTTGTCTTGAAGAAGCCAAAATTATATAAAATCAGATTTTGCCGAAGTCAGGAGAGAGAGAGAGACGAGTGGATCCGGAGGGGACTTCAGAAATTTAATGGTTAAATTCCATCGTCTCTCCATTTCGTTTTCCCATGAACTATTTGAAGGTCCCCTCCTATATTCTTTAGTGTAAGAAAATGGCTCTTGGATCAGAGTATTTCTAGTAGAACCGTGTCACTTCTGCTTACATTTAGTCATAGTCTACCTCGGCTGGAGTCCTGGTGAGGTACTGTAGGGTAAGCACTCGATGTGAACAGCAAGGTCACCAGTTCAAGCCCACTAGTTGCTCCTTGGAAACCCTACACAGGGTCACTATGAGTTGGAAGCGACTCAGTGGCCCCTAACAACAATCTGTGTGCTGGAGCCCTGGTGAGGCTCTGGAGGATGAGCCCTGGTGAGGCTCTGGAGGATCAGCACTGGACTGTTTACCACAAGGTTGGTGGTTCAAACTCTCCCCAGCCCCTCCTTGGAAACCCTATGCAGAGTTGTTGTGAGTCAGAGCGGATTCTACACCACTTAGCAGCGTTCTCCCTGTGTGCTCTATCTAACCCACCTGTGCCTCTCCCATGTCTCTCCCACAGGGTGCACTCTCTGTGACAGAGCCTACCCCTCAGACTGCCCTGACCACGGACCAGTGACTTTTGTGCCAGACACCCCGATAGAGAGCAGAGCCAGGCTTTCCCTCCCAAAGCAGCTTGTTTTCCGTCAGTCCATTGTGGGAGCCGAAGTGGGTAAGAACCTTGTCATCTTGACGCCCCCGAGTTTCCTCGCACTCTAGGGTTGTGTTATAAAAGCAGACGGGTGTAATTTAGTACTCATTTGAATGATGCAAAAGTCACTTTATGGTTTAAGATGGGTCCTTTTATCCAGTGGTGATAATGATAATCAAGTTGAAAAGTTTATTGGGAAACCTTCCCGTTCTTAGAGTTAGAAGTGAGTAGAAGCAAGAATCCCAACCTGGATCTTTGAGTCACTGACGTTTTCTTTTAGCAGAACCAATCCACTAATTATTATCAGAATGAAATACTGCTGGAAATGAAGGAAAATATACGTGATTATCACTGATTAGAGTCCTGGTGTGGCGCTGTAGGATAAGCACCGGACTGCACTGTCAGATTGAACCACAAGGTCAGTGGTTCAAAGTCACCAGCTCCTCCTGAGAAACCCTATGCAGAGTCGCTATGAGTCAGAACCGACTCAACAGCAACAATAACAACACCAACCACTGATGACCTTTTATCACAAGAGATTTAGCATGGATGTCTGTACATTGTCTAACACCATTTAGGGAAAGGGAATAAGGAATGTCGACTGCCAGAGTATACTGATTCAGTGCTGTCGAGTGGGTTCCGACTCCTCATAGCAATCCTGTCAAAGGGTTTCCAAGGAGTCGCTGATGGGCTTGAACCACCCACCTTGCAGTCCAAAGTGACGTTGCGGTCCAGTGCTTATCCTGCAGTGCTACAGAGTTTACGTATCCCTGTTTAAGTTCAACATGGCTTCTGGATTACTGTTTCAGTTCTTAGAAAACACAGAACTAGGTTCATTATTCTTTCAGCTGCTACTGAGCTATGAGTCATTTGAAAGCACTGAATAATGTAGGGCAGTGATTTAACCGCAGAAGGTTTTAGACGTTTTCTTGATCATATAAAACAGTTGTTGTATATTTTGATACCAGGGTAATGTTCTTTTCTTCAGTGTAGGAATATTGATTCGACCTGTTACTCTGCTTCTTTGGAACCTCACTCAATCTGCTCATCACATTTTACCAACTTACAGGACAGGATGCACAAGACGTAACCGGCTCTCAGAGGCCAGACTCCCAGCCATTCTTAGCTAATAGGACTCTTTGCCCGGGTTAAGCAACTCTCCCTCCCATATCCTGTTAGGCGTTTAAGCCACTGATGGTGTATCTGCTCTCCTCCCACTGGTAGGTGTGTGGACTGGAGAAACCATTCCTGTGCGGACTTGCTTTGGGCCCCTGATTGGCCAGCAGAGTCACTCCATGGAAGTAGCAGACTGGACAGACAAGGCGGTTAACCAGATCTGGAAGGTAAGTGACACGGAACTTTTCTGTGAGTTGGTTAAAAGTCAAAACTGTGTAGGACTCATCCATACCATTCACCCATTAGTCATTTCTTGAATGTTGCCTCCTCACTGTTCATCTTGCTGAACAACTTACAATACACAATGAGACACTGGCTGGTAGAGAGAGGCCACACTGCCACCAGCTTCGTTTTGTGAGGTAACCCAGTAATTCTGTGCTTTAACGCCTTGTGGCAGTCAAACCATGACATATGTTTATGTGAAGAAAACATTCCTCAAATCTTTAGCTTGGGAAATAATTCTAGATTTAGAAGCTAAGATTCTCTCTCTAGTTTTCTAATGGAAGGAGCTGGCAATGTAAGATTTTGACATGAACCACTGTTCCTGTCATTTGTCATGTAGAATTTAGTCAGTGGATTAGGAATGGTCCTTATTGAAGTGAAGGGAAAATGGGTCTTGTCCTGCTTGGACAATAAGGTATCAGTGGCTTTAGGGACTCATTTTAGCATCCAGAATAAGCACAGAAGTACATCAAGTGCAATTGGAAACATAAATAGAAGGGCTGATCACGAGGTAGATGTTGAAGACGAGTAGAATGGTCTTTTGTCTTTCCCAGTCCAGTAGCAAAGTCAACCTATACACGGAGCAGGAACCAACCGTAGGACCTGGTGGGTCTCTGTTCTGTTCCTGGAAGTGGGGGGACCGTGTGGAGGAGGCACACTGACAAGCAGTGTTGGAGCCTGCTGCAGAATGAATGAGGCAGTTGCGAGCCTAAATGGAGTGGCGGTTTGTGTTGGTGTGTTGGACATCTGTGTTTGCCTTCTGCTGGCAGATCTACCACAACGGTGTCCTGGAATTCTGCACCATCACCACTGACGAGAACGAATGTAACTGGATGATGTTTGTACGCAAAGCTCGGTAAGAGCAGTGGAGACCGAGGCGGGTAGTTACCACCGAGATGGTTTCCAGCAGGCCGAATAGGGAATGCAGATTACACCGATGCTTGGCTGGACTTCAGGCAGGAGAAAGGCCTGGGGATCTGCTCCTGTAAGGATTCCAACCCTAAACCCATTGATGTCTGCTTTATTACAGCTCCCAGTGACCCCATCAGGTTTATAAGGCAGTTACAGGGGCAGATTTCTCCCCAGGAACTGCTTGCTGGTGGGATTGAACAGCTGACCTTTCCGTTAGCATTCAGCAGTCGATTGCTTGACTACTGCACTACTAGGGCTTTTTCCATAAAGGTGGTTGTTGTTGTCAAGTGCCATCAAGTCAGTTCCAACTCATGGCAACCCTGTATAGGGTTTTCAAGGAATAGCTGGTGAGCTTGAACCTCCGACCTTGTGTTTCAAACCAACTTTGCAGTCCAGCGCATTAACCCACAGCGCCACAGCAGGACCTCTAAGAAATCCTGTAGAGTAGTTCTGTCTGTCCTGTCCGGGTGCTGTGAGTTAGAATCGACTAGCTGGCACCCCACAAGAGAAAGGCTTTTCAACTACCTGACTTTAGAAGGGTTTCATTGATTATAATTGCAGATTAAAACACAAGAACAGCTTCTTCAGCTTAATACGATAAGGAATGAGACTGTCACCACTGGATTTATAAGTGGATGCCTCTCTGTACATTGGAGAATCATCCATCTCCCAGGCTGCTGTTAGAGCTAATTCTTGGTCAGCTGTCTATCTCTATGTCTGTGCCATAGGTGAATAATTTTAATTCTCTTTAAGACATTTTATTTAATTTTCTTCCAATAACAGACGCTAGTGTTTCTGAGTATTCAGGACGACCAACTGGCATACTTAAGTATAGGAATCTGTTTCTATACAAGTCCCTCCTGATAGATGGGGTAGAGAATTACAGACAAAATCCAGAGAGAATGGTTTGATCTGTGGTTTCATGTAGGCTGTTGCCCTTCCCGGGGATAAGCTGTGCTTAGGATGCCGTTCTAACGTACTCTGCCTGATGTGTGAAATGTGATGACTTAGGACCCGGGAAGAGCAGAATTTGGTGGCTTATCCTCATGATGGAAAAATCTACTTCTGCACCTCCCAGGCTATCCCTCCTGAAAACGAACTGCTTTTTTACTACAGCCGGGATTATGCTCAGCAGATTGGTAAGCCGGTAACATGTTCTGTCTTGAACCTAGCATAGTAAAAGCATCTGGAATACAGTTTTGCTGCAGACTTACGTGGCATCTGATGCACAGCGGCAGCCTTCATTTGTATATGTAAAAGTAAGATTTGGGGTTTCTAGTGGTAAAATCGCTGGGTTGTTCCTAAACGTAGTCACCTAGCGGTATTCTTAGGGAATGAAACTTCCATATTAGGACTTTGATTTGGGAATTGTGAAGATCCTGAGGCTGTTTTCTGGGCCAGTACCACTGGGTTTTAAGTTCCTGAAGGACTGCCAAGCCCCTTGAATTGATTTAACCTGCATGATGGTGATGGTGGTGTGCTGATCCGACTCATAGCGTACCTATACAGGGTTTCCAAGGCTGTAAATTTTTACAGGAGCAGAAAACCTCATCTTGCGGAATGGCTGGTAGTTTCAAACTGCTGACCTTGATGTTAGCAGCCCTATTGATAATGCACAGATTTCCTCTGTTTACTGTTTTCCTGGTGATAAGTGATGTTTAAGAGTTCTTGTGGACTGCATTATCTAAAGGGCTTACTTAGGATAAAACTCTGTAAACCAGCATTTACAGAGTTCATCCTGTGTGTCTGGTATTATTCTTAGTGCTAGGGTTGGAGCATTCAACAAGACATTTCAGGTTCACAGATAGTGGAAAAGCTGGACATTTTGATAAAAGCAAGAACTCCTTTTTTGGAAAAACTACAAAGGAAAAGTTTTCTAATGTACGTATCTGGAGACACTGAGCCTTCCCTTGCTCTTGCAGGTGTTCCTGAACACCCAGACGTGCATCTCTGTAATTGTGGCAAGGAGTGCAGTTCCTATTCCGAGTTCAAAGCCCACCTGACCAGCCATATTCACAACCATCTGCCAAGCCAGGGCCACAGCAGCAGCAGCCATGGCCCGAGCCACAGCAAAGAAAGGAAGTGGAAATGTTCCATGTGCCCCCAGGCGTTCATCTCACCTTCCAAACTTCATGTCCACTTCATGGGTCACATGGGCATGAAGCCCCACAAGTGTGACTTTTGTAGTAAGGCTTTCAGTGACCCCAGCAACCTGCGGACCCACCTCAAGATCCATACGGGTAAGTGAGTTGGCCCTGGGGTTATTGCTGCAGGTAGCAGTTACAGGAGTCCGTGGCCTGGCCGAGGCAGAGTTGTAGCTAGAGATGAGAGGTCATAGAACAGGCCCAGCTGGTGGCCAGGCGGGAATGAGGGGGTGATAGGACCTTGGAATGGCTGTGGTCCCTTAGAGGGGGCATCCTCTCCATAGCCAGAGTCCCTGGGAAAACATAATCATCAGGAAGTTGATCAGTGTGTTTGAGCTTAGAGCAAACAGAATTCCGTGGACGCACTGAGCCTCCCAGCAGCACTCAGCCCTGGTCACTAACCAGAACCCATTCTGTTCCTTGGAATATTGTTCTAACGAATGCTGCCCAAATTGAACTCCATGCAGACCATCTTCTGTCTTTTAGCATTTACTGTTTTCATACAGGCGACAAAGCAACTGGGGACAGTTTTTGCCTGCTTGATTAGGTCATTTGTTCTGCAGGTCTTTGAAAGGAGGGTTCAAACGTTACCTCATCTCACATGTTGGCTTCTCAGAGTGGCTTCTCTGTCCTCCCTGTCTAAAGACCTACCCCTCCCCACCATCCTTTTGTCTCGCCTTTGCCTACTTTATACATTTTCATCACAGTACTTGTCACTGTCTGAAATTAACATGCTCATTGTCTGTCTCCTCCCTCCATGGAATCTGGAGCAAGGACTCAGTCTTACTCAGCATCCTTGCACCAGCACCCAGGATAGTGCTCGTCACATGAGAGGCCCCCAGTCAACAGGCCGAGCGCATGCTTGCAGATAGCAACCGTTTTATCTTCCACTCAAGTCTCCTTACAAAAAGCCACCCTAGATCCTTAAACCCCTTCGGTTCGGTGAGTGTTTACTATGTAGAGACTTCCCGCGTAGTAGCAGGTGGTTCTCCGTTCAAGTGTACATAGATGACACCTGACATCCACCTCCCCGCTAGACATTGGGGATTGTGGGAAGTGTCTCCTCCCACTTGCTTTGTGAGGGCCAGAGAGGATCACCATCAGCACCTGCATAAGGCTGGTTCCTATGAGGTGGAGGTCAGCTATGCCGGTTCCTTCAGCCTGTTTACCAATTCGGCCCCCTGCCCTCCTTGCTACTGCTCTCGACTCCTGTGCTTGGCTGGAGAATTCATTGTAGTGGCTCAAGAGACAGGACTCAAGATTATAGGGTTATTAGGGAAGTAACCGACTACAGGTTGTATCAGAAATGGCTCTAGCACGACAGATTCTTCTTAGCTGTGTCTCTGGGCTGGCCCTCAGCCCCTTAGGCCTCTGTCCTGCTCGGTCATGTGTTAAAAAGCTCTTTAGCTCTGCCAGTAAGTGGTGAGAGGCACCGCACTCTACAGCAGGCAGCCTGCTGCCCGGAAGCGCTCAGCTTTATCTGTGGGAAGCGCACCACGCCAGGGCTTGCCAATCTCCTGATGCTGCCGCTGCCGCTGCTGTTTCTCAGTCTCTTTTTCTCACCATCTCCTGTTACAGCTCTGTCTCCTGGGTCTAGGGGGCTCCCAATGCAGGGACCCCAGCTCAGAACTTGCTCAGCTCCTGTCTCTTCCTCTGGGTGGTAGTCAGGTTCCCCTGACAGCCTCTGTGGTGGCTCATTGTAAGCCTAGTGGAAGGAGAAAACTGACCAATCCCCATACAAATAAGGTACACCTCATTTGTATGGTTCCACCTCATGTGGAATCTGGAGAAGGACATTATGCTAGGTAGAGTGGAGGTCAGGAAAGAGAGGAAGACCCCCAACCAGATGGATTGGCACAGTGGCAGCAGCAATGAGCTCTAGTTGAACAACAATTGTGAGGACAGCACAGGACTGGGTGGTGTTTTTGTTCCGTTGTGCATAATGTCACCTAACAAGTCCTAGTAGGGTGCCATGCACCTTATTTGTATGAGCAAGCTGTCCATTCCCCTTGGTGGAGCACAAGCACCTTATTTGCATAGCCCCACCTACCCTTTTGTTGAGAACTAGTAGGATTCCTGATGTGCCACTGTAAGATAAGCACTGTGTAGGTAGGATAAGCACTGGACTACTGACCTTGTAACCACTATACTGCCAGAGCTCCTTACATTACATGTTAGATATCCTATCGTAGTGGTTACGAATTGGGCTGCTAACCTCAAGGTCAGCAGTTCGAAACTACCGGCCTTTCCACTGAGGAAGAGTTACAGCCTTGGAAACCCTATACAGGGTCGCTATGAGTAAGAACCAACTCCACGGCACACAACCACCAACAAATTTAATTCAGAGAAAGTAGCTAATAACTATGTAAAAATATGTTTGCCCAGAAACTGAAGCTCGAATTTTTATGTTTGCCTCTTTTTAAAAAATAATTGAGTGAGGTAGTGTTCTGTTGTTGTAAAGTGCTGTCAAGACAGGTCTGACTCATAGCTCCCTGTCCAGGGTTTCCGAGGAACAGCTGACCGCCGACCTTGTGCCTCACAGTCCAGTGCTTATCCTACAGCGCCACACCAAGGCAGTGTGCTAGGGTTATGTGTTTCCTCCTAATTTTATCATGTCATGTATCAGTTGTTCCATGAATACATAAGCACAAATCAGTCTTTAAGGAGGTTCTCCTAAAAGGCGGTCAGATTTTACCTTTGCTGGCTGTCATTTGGGAATGTGAATGGAGGGGCTCCTAGTGGTTGGAGGTGGAAAGCAGGCTCAGAGTCCAGCTCCTCCACCGCATGTGGGTAATGGCTTTGCTCAGGGTGTGATGTCTGGGGTTCACATGCAGGTCAGAAGAACTACAGATGCACTTTGTGTGACAAGTCCTTCACCCAGAAGGCTCACCTGGAGTCCCACATGGTCATCCACACGGGCGAGAAGAACCTCAAGTGTGATTACTGTGACAAGCTGTTTCTGCGGAGACAGGACCTGAAGCAGCACGTGCTCATCCACACGCAGTGAGTGAGGCTACAGCCAGCACTCCATCTGGGGGGAAACTCTGTGATTTCAGAGTGATCTCATTCAGTTAGTGTTGTAACAAATGATGCTGAAACACCTCCTCAGTGCCTCCCAGCATGGGTGAGGTGCTGGGAACACAGAGGTGGAAGAGAGAGGCCCTGCCTCTGCCATTGTGGAGTGGGCATTGGGTGCTGGAAGACTTCTGAAGGGGGCCCCTAACCCGGCCCAGGGAGATTGTGGGGTCAACAAGAGTAAGGAGTACAAATGTACTTTCAGATCGAGAGAAACAGATGTAAGTGGATTATGGGATGCAAACGTTTCTTTAGAAGTAGAGCCAGGGATGTTGTTAAAATGTAGTTCCTGACTCAGTAAATCTGGGGTGGAAATGCAGATTCTCTGTAGGGGTTAGACTGAAAGGAAGCAATTCAAAGCCCTGGTAGAACTTAGTGAGTTTGTGAGAGGTTGAGGAAGGGGCAGCAGCTCCATCTTACATCCTGGGAGGACATGGAGGTGCTGGGAGCCACTGAATGTCCTGAGGAAAGGTGTCCAGTTGATGGGGATCACACTGGCAGGAGGAAGAGGACTAGAGCCTCAGCTTCCCCAGTTATTCTCATTTCTGGCCAGGGATGGGAGATGCTGATTTCGTTCATGTTGGAGACTGGCTTCCACCATATCCTGACAAGTGGTTCTGCTGCTTGTTCCTGCTGGCATACCACACAGCTTCAGGGAGGTTTTGTTTGAATCAGGCTGAATTCAGCCTCTTTCTGTTCATTCCTCATCTGCCCTCAGGAAGGATTTGTTGTTGAATCGACTTGATTCTGACCCATAGTGACCCTGTATAGGGTTCCCCAGCCTGGCGCATTAACCCACAGCGCCACACCAGGACACATAGTTTAATGTGCCGTTAAACTGACCACCTTCCATACAATTTGTGTTCATTGCCAGGTGCCCACAGTTTCTGTAGTTTTCCCTCAGACCACACATTTGGTGACACATTTGGTATCCAGAAGTGGCATTACAGATACTCAGTGTATGTCGTGGGTTTTGTGTGCTGTTGATGCCAACGGATAACAAGTCTATAGAGCAGAGTAGAACCACCCATAGGCTTCCTTAGACTGGAATCTTTCATGAGAACATGATCTTTTCTCCCATGGAACCACTGATGGATTCGAATCACTGACCTTTTGGTTCACAGCTAAGCACTGAACTAGTGTATAGTGTTGTTGTCAAGTGCTGTTAAGTCAGTTCTGACCCATAGCGAGCCTGTCTAGGGTTTCCGAGGAGCGGGTGGTGGGTTTGAACTGCTGACCTGGGATACAGTATGTTGTTAAGTGCTGTCAAGTCGGTTCCGACCCATAGCGAGCCTGTATAGGGTTTCCGAGGAGCGACTGGTGAGCTTGAACCACTGACATTGTGATTTAAATGACCTTGCAGTCCAGCGCATTAACCCACAGCACCATACCAGGACTCCAGGATACAGTATAGTAGTTGCTTTCCTCTGTGACTTTGCTTGTTCCTTCAGGTGACGCCGACGTTTGTACTTTATTGTAACCACATCACAGTACTCACACGATGCAGGGATTTGGAGATGGGTCACATGACGCTTTCTCTCCGTTTGAGTGTTGAATTGGCTCTCTCGGGTATTGGCCAGTGAAAAGTTCTTTCTCTCCAGAAATCTGAATGTGGACTCCTGTCAGGATGAGGAAGTAAAATAGCCTCTTTGCTAAACTCTCATGGGATAGAATGAAGTTTAGGGGTTGTTAAACAAACGTAAAGCTGGTGTCAGGCATTCACATAAGAAACACTTGTGTAGTCCAAGTATTTTTTAATGAGACTTAGCGATGGTTAGCAAAATGTCGAGATAACACTATGGGGGTTCTGTTTATCGTCATCATAAAGGAGCTCTGGTAGCATACCGGATTAGAAGCGGGGCTGCTAACCACGCAAGATCAGCAGTTTGACTCTTACAGCAGTTTCGAAAGCGAACGATGAGGCTTTCTGCTCCCATAAGGATTTGCAGCCTGGGAAACCCCATGCAGAGTCGCTATGAGTTGGAACCGACTCCACGGCACACTGTCAATCAACTGATTGACCCTCTTAGAAAAGAAACTGCTGCAGCCTTAGCTCTAGACAGATTCCTCTCCCAGCGTCCCCTGAGTGTGAGCAGAGGTGGATGTTGTCTTTGCCTTCTTCTCGGAATGAAGGGTAGTGGTGCTTACTCCGGTCCTCATCCCGAGATTGCTCAGGGGTTGTACAGACTGCCCAGTCCCCAGCCTGGCTCTGGGTTCCTCCTATGGTATCTGTCTGTGGCCTCAGATGTCTAGCTGCTCAGCATTGGCTGCTTTGGACATTCATCGGACAGCCCACACTTGACACGTGACTCAGCTACTAGCATCAGGCCCACAAACGGACTTTCTCCCTGTGCTCGTCACCTCAGCCCAACACCTGTTGCCTTTCCTTTTGCCTTCAACACGCCCACTCAGCCCACTTAGTCTAAGTGTCTGTGGCTCCAGCCAAACACCTGGTGCCTTTCCAGCTTTCAACACGACCACTCAACCCAAATCGCCAGCCTCTCTCCTATGACCGCCTCGGTGGCCTCCCAGCTGACTCAGCTGCCTGTGTCTCTCAGTCCTCAGCACAGCACAGACACTGTACTCTCAGAGCCCACTCAGAACACACCGTCGTACCTCAGACCTTCCCATGACTTAGAGGGGCCTTCAGGACACAGTGGCAGGTGGTGGTGCGAGGCTACCTCTCCCATGGCTGTTTTTCCACTTTTTTTTGGCCACACTGACCCCTCCCCTTGCTGCTGTCTGAACTTACTACACATCCCTCAGTTTAAAGGGTTCCTCGCTGTACTGTCTCTGCCTAGAAATAGACACAGTGAATCCTGTGGAAGCCAGGACCTGGGTGAGGCGGGAAATAAACAGGTAGTGAGACCTGCATACACCTGTCAAAGTGGAAAACTGTGAGACCTGGAAAACCCGAGGGAGTTCCAGCAAGTTCCAGTGTACATGTGTATTGGATGGGCATTTAAACACCACTGGACCAGCTTACGTAGGTCTCATGCACTAACATTTCCCGTCTGCAGAGTTAAAAGGTTGGCTGGGTTTGTAGCTACAGGGCTAGCTCCCCCAGGGGAGGGACACAGAAATGGTCACCGGCAGGCCAAGCTTCATAACTCACCGCCCCACCCTACCACTCATTTGAGCATTTTAACTCATCTCGATCTGTTTCCCATACTAGACTTTCATAGAGACATAGGAGTCAGCTGTTTAAAAGACACGTGTGACAGTCTGGCCTGTGGTACCTCTGAGACTCTGCCCAGCTCAAGGGCTGAGGCCAGTGTCACTCACACACCGCCCCAGTGTCTGCTGTGGGCTGCCCGGGCACTAGGAGGATGCCTAGTGGGCTCTCTGGTCTCTGCCTGGTAGGCCCACCCCAGTTCTGACAGTCAGAAATGTCCTCAGGGGGACACAATCACCCCTGGTTGAGAAAGGAGAAAGAAAACTGGCAATTTTGTAAAAATAGTAATGGGACGTACAGGTGAAAAACACAACACTGAGGTACCATTACGTACCAGCCAGTGCCAGAAATGCTCAGGGTCTTGTCTCCTGACTGTTGGTGTGAACATAGGCCAACCGGGACTCTCAGGTGGCTGCAGGTAGACACGTCACTTTGCAGAGCAGTGTGCATTATCTAGTGAATTACAGATGCGCTTGTCCTTGGTCCAGCTATGCCCCCTCCTGGGCACGTACCCTGGAGACGCTCACACAGGTGCAGACAGCTTACAGTAAGTATCAGGACACTGAGAACCAGCTGTGCCTGTGATAACAAAAAACTGAAAACCACCCCAAATCCACCAAGAGCAGACAACTCCAGTGCCGCCGGTAGATTGTGGGGTCTCTGTAGAAAGTGTGCGGCAATGAAAGGGAACAAACAGCTGACACTCAGCAACTTGAATGGATTCTGCCAAGGTCATGTTGAATGAAAGAGCTAGAAAAGCATTGCATCACAGTAGGACCCCGTTTACACAGGCTTCGCAGCAGGCACACGAATGCCGCGTAGCTATGTGTACGTAGTAATGCTCAAAAATATCCAGAACACAGTTGTTACCATCGAAGCTGGCAAGGAGGCATTTCTGGGGTACATTTCTGCTCCTGACCTGTGGTGACACTCCCAAATCAAATGTTCTTTCTTGTGTTCCCTTAGAGAACGCCAGATCAAGTGTCCCAAGTGCAGTAAGCTGTTTTTGAGAACAAATCACTTGAAGAAGCATCTCAACTCTCATGAAGGGAAACGGGATTATGTCTGTGAAAAATGCACCAAGGCGTATCTAACTAAATACCATCTCACCCGCCACCTGAAAACCTGCAAGGGGCCCACCTCCAGCTCCTCGGCACAAGAGGAGGAAGAGGAGGATGACTCCAATGAGGAAGACCTGGCTGACACTGTGGGGACGGAAGACTGTAGGGTTAACAGTGCTGTGTATTCAACAGACGAGTCTCTCTCTGCTCAGAAATAACAGGGAGAAGCAGCACAGTTTTAGATGGAAAATGTAAAAGCAGAGACAGCAGTTATCCACTACAATGGTATTTATAGAGAATGGGTTCTGATTTCTAACCGCCAGCAGTCCAGGCAGACTGAATGGGGATGAGGAGAGCATGGCTGGCAGAGGGTTCTACGGCAGCCACCTGCAAGCAGCTGGACACAGCCCTGGGAGCTGCTGACTTGGACTGCAGCTAAGCTTCCAGCAGCACCTGCCTTCCCTTCGCCTGCTGTGGAGTGTGGCTGCAGTTTGTTCCATCGCCAAAACTCATGCTGGGGAGCGTTCAGATAGATTTTGTTTCCCAAGTTTTCAGCAGGCTCCTAGAAGGTAAATAACAAAGGGGCTTCTAGGCAACAGGCACTGATGGAGAGAAGATGGGGAGACACCTGGGCCACTGCCCAGGAGAGGAACCTGGTTCTTAATTTAGACACGTTCCTTGTGTCTCCAGTAAATTCCAAATGACTCAGGCCAAGGGGGCCTGGAGGTGTAAGAGCCCAAGTAATGCTTGCTAGGTAGTCTCCTGACTGACGAGGTGGTGCCTCAGCCCATGGAAGGGGCGAAGGGGAGACTCATGTTCATAGTGGCTCCATCTGTGGAAAGTATGGAGACCCCATTTCCCATTGAAACGACGCCCCCCTTCATAGTAAATGATTCTCAGTGCCCTGGGACATCTGCAGGCGCTCCTCACTTGTCTGGTGGAGGACCTCACAGGTAAAGGGCCTGAAAGGGGAAGTGCACTCTAGTCACCACAGGACCTGTTTTCAGGGTCACAGTTGATTTAATCCATCCGTTCATCCAGCTGCTGTCTCCCAAGCATCCCTGGCTTCCAGCAAGAAGCAGACACATCCTTCCGTTGACAGGGTTTGTAGAGCAGACGCTCTGGGGGCGGAGTCAGGCGGACTCAGATGGGAAGGTTTTGCTGCTAATGGATTTATGGAATGAATGTATTTCATTCAAAGCTGTATTCCTCTAGGAAGGATTAAAATTAAAACTTTTTTAAAAAACGTAAGGCTTCTTTTTGTTCTCTTGTTTTGCTGAGGAAGGAGATGTTGTTGTCGTTATGTGCTGTGGAGTCAGGTGCGACTCATAGCGACCCTGCACAGGGTTTCTGAGGCTGTTAATCTTTATGGGAGCAGAACGCCTCATCTTTCTTCCGCGGAGCAGCTGGTAGTCTAGAACTGCTGACCTTGTAGTTCGCAACCCAATTTGTAATCACTACGCTACCAGAGCTCCTTGAGGAAGGAGATGAGTAAGTGTTTTAGTAGGAAATGTACAATTTGACTTTTTCTAAGGTTAGAAGGGAGAAGGCATTCTCTAATTACTGTAGTTGTGTATAGACCATGTTCTAATGGATCCCACATCTAACAGAGCTCATCAGACCACCTGTGTCTCCTGCTGCCCGTGCCCTCCTCCCTGTGGCCAGAACTGTGGTAGGTCCACAGCTGTGTGTTGGGTGGTCTGAAGCTGCTCGTGAACCCTCAGCGCAGCCCTGAGGGCCGGGCCAGTCCTCTTCCCCTGAAACCATTGCTGCCAGAACTTTCAAACCTTCCCCTTAGCAGCACTTGCTGGGGTGAACCCTTTCAAGGCCAAATTATTTTCTGCTTGGAGTCTGTTTTTGTCAATGGAAGGCATCAGGCCCTCAGGCCTGTGTAGTCCTCAGACAAGGAAAACTTTTCTTTTCAAACCCATCCACTTGGTTTCTGCACAGCTTCGGGTCTGGGGGTGGGGGTGGGAGGAGAGGGAGGACAGAACAATGTGTGAGACTCTGTCCTCGCCTCCACCCACCATGATCAACATCTTGCAGTGGTTCCAAGACCTGGCCAACTTCTAAGGCGCTTACATCTTTAGGTATCCAGGCTTAATCCCAAGATACTGATGAGCTAGCATTTTTGATTCTTTAATTTGGCACTAATAGACTGTAATCCTACAGGGAGGACTCAGTTGTCTGTTGCATGATTTACTCATATATGTATTTTCTTTATTTTGTTTTAGGTCAACGTTTACACAGCAAATTAGTTTCCCATTGAACATTTTCGTATGAATAGTCTGTGCCATTGGTTAGTTTCTAGCCTGTGTCAGCCTTCTTCTTTCAGTTTCTTCTGTTTCTATGGATCTAACTTTCCTGACCACACCCCCAACCCCCCACCTTCTCATCGATGCTTCTGGGTAAAATATTGACCATTTGGCCTCATGCTGTAGTTAAGTGCCGTCAAGTCTGTTCCAACCCATAGCAACCCTATATAGAGTTTCTGAG